CAGTTGCTTCTTCTTTTTACTTTTCATTTTCCACGTAGATAGTATGATAATAACATGTCCAGCCTGGGTCGCGGAGAGTATATATCCTAAAGTTCGATACTTTTTTCCAGCTCGTAGTTTCGTTAAATAAAAAAAAAGCTTCACTGGAGCATCCCGGTCAGAGGCAGGTTCAGATATAAGCACTGAACTAAGGAAGCAGGTCAGATAATTATTTAATCGGCTCTGATTAAATAAACAACAACTTCAGATTCAATGCGCAATATGTAGCATCCATGCTAGCTCTGTAAACAAACAAGCCGGCTGATGAGACGTCACGTCTTTTACTGCGCATGCGTGTCACATCAGTGCTGTGGAGCGTTCACACAGGAGTCTGATACAGGTCACATTTAAAATGTAATGTGAACGTTCACACAAAAAGATCGGATTTTTTCAAAGAATCAGAACTGAGCATTAAGACCTGCAGTGTGAACGTAGCCTAAACGTTTATTTACGTGTTAGAATCCCCCAGTGGTCAGCTGTGGTCACTGAACAATCTTTATTTTCTGTCCTTTAGAAGTGGAGCACTTCAGCCCAGCTCGAGTGTCTGAGAAAGTCCTGTTCCACCTGCTCCGTCACCCCAGTGTGAACCAGGAGGTCCACTTTGACCACAACAACCGGCTGAGCCCGGTCCACTACTTGTACACCCGGAACCACCCGGTGGACTACTTCATCCTCCTTCTGCAGGTATGAGTACACACTCCTCTTCATGAAACATCAACACGCACTCTCAGCTACAACACCATCGTCTTCTAACAGAAATAAACTGTTTGCAGTTTCTTTTTTTAATTGACGTGTGTGGGTTTTGTTTGTTTGTTTGTTTGTGTGTTTGTTTGTTTGTTTATTGGTCAGGGCCGGGTGGAGGTGGAAATAGGTAAAGAAGGGCTGAAGTTTGAGAATGGTGCGTTCACTTACTACGGTGTTTCTGCTCTGACGCTGCCCTCTTCAGGTGAGATCATGAACTGACCCTCAGCTGCTTCCACAAGCAGTTTGAGATTTGTCAAAAATAACTAAGCAGAGACGTTTGATTTTTTTATTAAGGTAATCTTATTAAGGTTTTCCTCTGTTTTTGGCACATGTCTCATTCTGCAATTTCAACAATTTATACATCAAAACTTTGAGCTCCTTCAGGACATTCTGGCTATGACATTTGGCATTTCAGCTATTTATACTTTTTGAAATATTTAGCTTTTTCTGCCATTTTCTTGTTTCATTTAAAATGAACTGCGCCATCTTCAACATCCTTAAAACTCTTTAAAATGTTCAGAAATCTTTATTGTACTTTTCACCTTTTGTTCTGGTTCTGCTTTTCTTAACTTCTTTGTGCTAATTTTAGCTCTTTTCAGCATTTCCCATCTATTTTCAGCTTCTTTCTGCTAATATCAGCTTTGATATGCTTCTTTTTACTTCTTGCTGTTAATTTAAGCTTTTTATGCTCCCCAGCTTCATTCTGCTGGTCATTGTTTTCTGTCTTTTCAGCTATTCTTCTGCTGTTTTTTGCTAAATTGAGCTAAATTCGTGTTGTGGTGGTCTTTGCAGCTTTTTTCATCTTAATTAAACAAACTTGCTCCATCAGTTTCTTTCTGCTGTTTTCAAATTTTATAGCAATTGTTCAGCCATTTTTAGCTAATTTGAGCTTTTCAGCTAAATTCACCTTTTTGTGAAAATTTCAGCTTCTTACTGCTTCATTCAGAAAATGTGCTCTTT